TGTAAAAATTATTTGTTCACCATCATATCTCCAGCAGTCGATACAGTGCTTGGCAAAGAGCAGACTCTCAAAAAAACTTTGGAAAGTAAGTCAAGAAGGAAGGAAGGGAAGAAAGGCTGGAGAGAAGTTTCAGGATTACTGTGAAGATTAAGAACAGCAGATAAAGACCCAAATACTGGTGCAAAAATGGGACTTTCAAAATCAGCATCCAACCTCCTTATAGATATCATAACTGGAGACACGGAGGAGTCAAGTACCTTGTCCAGGGTGACAGATCCTAGTCTGGTTAGTTACTGCATCACCCTTCAATGTTAGGCCTCAGCTCTTAAGCCAGCGCTCCTTACCCAATACCAGCCGAGCCACAAAAGGAATTATTAAGGAAAGGCCCTGGGTTCTTGCATTCTGGCCCCAGACTAGTTACCTTAGCATGTCCGGATTGGAGGAATCTTGAGGTCTTGGCCCTCTTTGTACTATTCAGGGCTAGACAAAAGGGGATCAAAATTGGGAACAGGACTTAGCACTCTCAAAGAAGACAGCTTGCAGGTAGAAACTGGAGGCCCTGACAACACAGATGAAATCGCGCTTCTCCCCGAACCAGTGCTGGAGGAGGTTCATGCTATCTCCAGAACACAGAGAAAAGTTCTGTAGCCAGTCTTTGGTTTGGTTAACCAAACAGAAATGTTTGGTTAAATGAGCTTCACTGCAAGACTTCTATACTAATAAGAGTTTTGGAAACTCCAAAAAGCAAATTGGTTCTCAGACATTGCCAAATGTATTTGGCCTCAAACCTCTAACTTTTTCTAAAGATTTAATGGACTTAACTTCCCACTCGGGGACAATGGTTTTCAATTTTTTTTTTCTGTGACTTCAGGTAGGGGGATAGATTTCGTGTGTCAGAAACCAGTACACACATGCTTGTGAATGTAACACTGACAGGAATGTTTATAATACTTATAATACTTAGCTCTTCTGTACGTGCTGTGCCTATTTTCTATCCTGCTTTTCTTGCATTCCCATGAATCCTGGATTTTGAAACCCAGAAAACGGATTTCACAACCTACCTGTGGGTCACAATCTACAGTTGTAAACTTCTGCCCTAATAAGTACTGGTGTGTGATTTAGTCATTTCTCCTCCTCTGTATCCTTTTAAGCTTCCTCTTACCTGTAAGCTGCAATATTGTTGACTGAATCAAAGATCTACCTGGGATGGATCCAAATAATAGAGTGGGGTTAGAAAATCTTCAGCCATTTCATTATAGTTACATTGAAGCATACCTTGAAGGAAGCATAATTCATTTTTTTTTAAGATTTTATTTATTTGAAAGAGAGAGTGAGCGGGAGCAGGGTGAAGGGCAGAGGGAGAAGCAGACTCCCCACTGAGTAAGGAGCCCGATGTGGGACTCGATCCCGAGACTCCAGGATCATGACCTGAGCCGAAGGCAGTCGCTTAACCGACTGAGCCACCCAGGCGCCCAGGAAATATAATTCAGAAAACCAGGAAACAGAATGAGCATAGTATCAAAGAGACCTTAGTATCACCTTTTGACCCATGAAGTGAAAAAAGAGTATCTATTCAATGAATAAAAGAAGACATAGAATATTGTCTATAGCATGTTCCCATTTGTATACAAAAAGGGGTTTATATATACATCTATATGTTTGATGTGCATGGAGTATGCTTGGAAAACACCCCATAAACTGGCCACAGTGGTATGTCATTGGTGGGTGTTACTGTTGGGATACCCTTATTTTTCACTGTGTATCCTTTTGTACTGTTTTAATTGTTTTTACCATAAACATGTATCACTTTTCCAAAACAATAATACACTGCTAGCTGGATAAATAATGAGAGATGAGAAAACCTGAAAAACCAAGAAACTTCCAGTGTTGCTTTTGTAAGCCGCTGCTAGTGATGGTATCTATGGGAAATAAAAGGATAGCTCTAGGTTCAAATCTTTTTTTTTTTTTTTAAAGATTTTATTTATTTATTTGACAGAGAAAGCGAGAGACGGAACACAAGCAGGGGGAGTGGGAGAGGGAGAAGCAGGCTTCCTGCTGAGCAGAGAGCCCGATGTGGGGCTCCATCCCAGAACCCTGGGATCATGACCTGAGCCGAAGGCAGACGCTTAACGACTGAGCCACCCAAGTGCCCCTCAAATCTTTTTTTTTTTAAGATTTTATTTATTTATTCATAAGAGATAGAGAGAGGCAGAGGGAGAAGCAGCTCCCCACTGAGCAAGGAGCCCGATGCGGGACTCGATTCCAGGACCCTGGGATCATGACCTGAGCGGAAGGCAGAAGCTTAACCATCTGAGCCACCCAGGCGCCCTCTAGGTTCTTGGAGGCGTATGTATGTGCTATAGTGATTGACCTTATTAACAAGAACCATCTCTGCCTAGGATATGTGTTCTCTATTCTACCTCTTCCCCCAACATGTGGCATTACAAAAAAAAACAAGAAGAGGGCTCCAAATATATTTTCTCAGGGTGATGCAGGTTGTCCATTTTGCCTGCAATGGAGTAGAAGCACCAGTGACAGAGAAAAACCAAGGAACTGAAGAGCAGGACTACCCTGAGAGGGCGGGGCTCCGAGAGGTGGTGGGGGAGGCTACCGGAGTTTGGGGAAATTCAAGAGGGATAGCAGCTGCGGGTTTTCAAACTTTTCAATATCCACGAGAATCATCAGGGGCACTCTTTAAAGTGTTTAAATTGCTAAAAAAAAAAAAAAAAAAAAAAAACCCAACCAACCAAACAAACAAACCCTGCGGGCAGAGATTCTGATACGGTGAGGTGAGTCTTAGGAGTCTTGGAATCAGTTCCCTTTTCTGAAGCTTCTGAAATAAGGCTCAAGAAAAGGGAAGCATGACAATCCCCTTGAGAAACAAACACACACACAAAGACAAAACAAGAACAAAACCCTAAGATCATTTCTGCTATATTTATCACTGACATATGGACTGCTTATAAAAGAAAAAGGTCTATTTTTCTCCTTAAGATTGTTAACCTGGAAAGTAGATTTTCTTAAGTGACTTAATACATGTAGAGAACAATGCCTGGCCCAGAATATGGATAAGTATAAGCTATTATTATGAATTTCTTTTTTAGGAACCATAAAAGAACAGTTTTTATGTAGATGAATCAACTCTATATATGATGCTGGGATGGACTGCAAGAATGCTAGTTTTCCAGACAATGAACCAAGCAAATAGTTACTGGAGAAGCTATTACAGTATCTAAAATAATACTTCTGATATTCATTCCAGTGTTGGCGGAAGGGTGGTTCCCCACACCAACAGGCAATTCTTGGGACACCAACTGGATGTCAACTCGATTCTGACTTACCTCAAGTAGATAGCATCAGATCCCACCAGTTAAAGGTTTAGTCCTACATACACATTACTGATGAACTCAATGGCCCGTGGTGATGGATTCAACTTCCAGCTTCTCTCCTCTTCCCCAAGGTTGGGAGTGGCAACCAGCTAGCTTCCTCAGGTGCTTTTCAAAGTCACTTCATTAACATAACAAAAGGCACTTTAATTGTTCTCATCACTTACAAAATCCCAAGCATTTTAGGAACTCTGTGCAAGCAAGGGGGATAAAGAACAAATATTTATTTCTTATTATAAATCACAAAATCACAGTGACCAGTTTTTTTAAATTAATGATACAGTCCTATTTAAAACAGTTGTGAAGAAAATGTGCAATTGGTTTAAAACTTGTATCTAAATTGTCATCAATGGCACATTACAAGCAACAACATTATTAAAAGTACATCTTCACAAACAGGCAAATGTACCTATGATTGTTTTCAACTTTATTTTGTTTTCTTTTTTTTAAGATTTCATTTATTTATTTGAGAGAGAGAGAGAGAGCACGAGTGGGGTGAGGGGTGAGGGGTGAGGGGCAGAGGGAGAAGCAGACTCCCCACTGAACAGGGACTTGAGACTTGAGACTCCCGGATCACGACCTGAGCCGAAGGCATACGCTTAAATGACTGAGCCACCCAGACACCCCTTACTTTGTTTTCATTTGCAAAGTTGTTGAATACCCAGGCACTGATCCCAGTTTGGTTTTAAACTTTGTTCTAAATGCTTGAATAATGTCCCAGACTCTGTCTCTTTATTTTTTTATTAACATATAATGTGTTATTTGTTTCAGGGGTACAGGTCTGTGATTCTTCAGTCTTACACAATTAACAACGCTCAGCATAGTAGATACCCTCCCCAACGTCCATCACCAGCCACCCCATCCCTCCCACCCCTCATTCTGTCTCTTTTTTAAAGCAACAGCCTTTCAGCCTAAGGTGAGTCACTCCTCCAACAGATGTGAGTTTCTAAGTTGCCAAAACCTGCGGGCCCAGTGAGCGATCCTAGTTTCCTTGAGAGTTTCCAAACCTGCGTAATCCTGTAGATAATATTGTGTTTTATAAAGTCCCCTTCACTCCCAAGAGAAGAGGTTCTTTCAGTAAATATGCCACACTCATAATTTAGAGGACAGCAAAAAAGTTGGCTTTCAAAATGTTCAGCATGGGGGGGCGCCTGGGTGGCTCAGTCGTTAAGCGGCTGCCTTCGGCTCAGGTCATGATCCCAGGGTCCTGGGATCGAGCCCGCATCGGGCTACCTGCTCCATGGGGAAGCCTCCTTCTCCCTCTCCCACTCCCCCTGCTTGTGTTCCCTGTCTCGCTGTCTCTCTCTCTGTCAAATAAATAAATAAAATCTAAAAAAAAAAAACAAAAAACAAAAACAAAATGTTCAGTACGGTTCAAACTGGCCTAGCATCCTCCGCGGGTCCCTCCCTCCCTTGAGTGCAGCCCAAGATGCCTCATTAAAAAATATATAGGCATCCTCATCTTTATAGCACCCTTTTCAACAGGTTGTCTAGCTTCAGCTTTGTTTAAAGCCAGTGAAAAGGAACTCATTACTTCATGGAACCTCTTCCTATTTTTAGGAAACTTAGTAATTAGAAGACCTTTGCTAACGTTCCTTCTAAATGTGCCCATAGGTGCCTACCCAGACCCATGTGTCTTTCGAAGAAAACCAGAGTGAGCACATTGCCCATACACGTTGCAGCTTTTCAGCTTTATGGAGGTAGCTGTGCTATTCCTTTCCACCGTCTTCGTCTTTTCTCTGGCTCCTTCAGGTGGGAAGGAATTACGCATTAGGAGTTACTATAAATGTGAATCTAGTTGTACTTAATCTACTTTATACAGAGACTCAATAACCAAAAAAAAAAAAGAGAGAATTAGAATGCATTTGCAACCTAATGGGAGTCTTTTCTTTTTTTTTTTAATATTTTATTTATTTATTTGAGAGAGAGAATGAGATAGAGAGAGCATGAGAGGGGGGAGAGTCAGAGGGAGAAGCAGACTCCCTGCTCAGCAGGGAGCCTGATGCGGGACTCTATCCCGGGACTCCAGGATCATGACCTGAGCCGAAGGCAGTCGCTAAACCAACTGAGCCACCCAGGCACCCCCTAATGGGTTTTTTCTTAAAAGAGGCAGGTATAATCTGTTCTTTTTCAGTAGGTACCCTTGGGTTATAGATCATTTTTAGTGGAAAGGAAATTAAAAAAATGGTGTGGTGCCTGCATGGCACAGTTGGTTAAGTGTTCAACTCTTGGTTTCTGCTCAGGTCATGATCTCATGGTTGTGAGATCAAACCCCATGTCGGGCTCTGTGCTCAGCATGGAATCTGCTTGAGGTTTTCTCTGCCCCTCACTCATGTGCTCTCTCTCTCTCACACACACACTCTCTCTCAAAAATAAATATTAAAAAACAAAAAACGTGGGTGCTGAAGTTTTGACAATGAGGGCAGATAATAATTTTTCTGGGATATATAGTTCTCTCAAATGGTCCACCAGGTTTTGAGTTTCTTTCTTTCTTTCTTTCTTTCTTTCTTTCTTTCTTTCTTTCTTTTCTTTCTTTTCTTTCTTTTCTTTCTTTTCTTTCTCTCTCTTTCTTTCTTTCTATCAGAGAGAGAGAGAGAGAGCACAAGCAGGGGGAGCGGCAGACAGAAGGAGAAGCAGGCTTCCAGCTGAGCAAGGAGCCTGATGCGGAACTCCATCCCAGGACCTTAGGATCATGACCTGAGCCGAAGGCAGCCACTTAACCGGCTGAGCCACCCAGGTGTCCCCCAGGTCTTGAGTTTCTTTTTTTTTTTTTTTAAGGTTTTATTTATTTATTTGACAGAGAGAAACACACCTAGAAGGGAACACAAGTAGGGGGAGTGGGAGAGGGAGAAGCAGGCTTCCCACCAAGCAGGAAGCCCGAAGAGGGGCTCGATCCCAGGACCCTGGGATCATGACCTGAGCAGAATGCAGATGCCCAATGACTGAGCCACCCAGGCGCCCCAGGTTTTGAGTTTCTTGAAGGCCAGGACTATGTCTCATTATTCTTGGTATCACCTGTGCCTATTATAATACTATGAACATTACTGGCCTCAATAAACGCTTACTGAATGGAGTTTATTTGAATTTCCAGAAGCAGAGAGATCACCGAAGAGCAATACAGACCAAGAAAAGGGGACTAAACTTACTTCAAGGAAGATCTTTTAACCGGACTCTTCTGATCTTATCCTCCTATTTAACAGAAATGCCCTCAAGGAGATGAAACTATACTGATAAGCCCTTTGGCGAACATGCCTAGGGACCATCCCCCACCTTAAAAACTCTACCTTTTGAAGTATCAGTATTCTGATCACCCAAAAGCAATGGCATCCTCTGTGTCCTAATTGACATTCTTCCCCCTTCAAGTCAATGTGTGTCTTTAATATGGGCTTCTAGGGAAAATGCTTTTAACTCAAGGAGCAATTAGAATGGAAGGCAAAGATGTCTTGGGAGGTTTTGGTGTCCTGGTGCCTAAAACTAGGAGTCAGAAAAACCCAAGTTCTTGACTTGGCAGAGAGATGACAAGACCCCCAGGAGAAAAGTTGGGGTGGGTGGGGAGTTGCTTGGGAGTCACAGCAACACTGGTTTGCTAGAACTCCCCAAAGCATTCTGACCCAAAGACCTACTTCGTGCAGGGCTGGGAGCACTGTAAATAACAGCACACATGGAACTGGCAGCACTCTCTAAGGGCAAAGCACCCGTGTCTACTGGACCCTTATTTGAGGACTGTTTGTACTTTAACCAGAAAACTGGTTAATAGCAGCATTCGCCCTATCGCATGGAAACATGGCTATTTTCTCAGAGTAAAACAGGCACTAATCTTGGGACGTGGCCCAACTCACTCCTCTGGGAAGGGGGCGGGAGATTCTGACTCAGCTGACAACAGGAGTCCAGCCAGAAGGGCAAAGGACAGTGTCCTCAGGTAAGGCACTCCGTGTGTAGGATATCTGTTGTTTGGTGGTGACCTCTACTCACCAACCAGCCTGGATGTCAGCGACAGGCTCTTGGTCCTCAAGGAAAGAATAAGCAAACGTAAGGCAAAGCTCCAGTCCCAGGAGAAGGATGGGTAGTTAGTCTAGAGTAGTACTGCATGAGGCCTGTTGTCTTAATATAAATATAAATAGCATCCCCTTTCGTCCCCAGTAGGTTCCTACTTAGGACAATAAATCATGTCATTCTTGGCATCAAATGCTTGGAAGGATACCAGGAAAACAACTTTTGCAACAGGAACCACGGCAGAAGCAATCTTTAAAAATTGGGATAAAGGGAGGCCTGAAATGGACACTGTGGCCCAGGACCACCTGTGAGGGCTTGAGCAGACTGCTCTTGAGGTTACTGGGAATCTCAGAGTCAGTACGAACCACATCCACATCAGAATAGCTATAAGGGTCTGTGTCCTTACTCACAATGACCACTGCCATCCTTCAAAATGCAGGGGGGACATAGTCTTCCTACATCGTGTTTTTACTGTCAGCCTCATAGCTGAGAATGACTGGTATTTACTTAACCTATTAAAGTAGTGTTAACTATGCCTGAAGAAGAGAAAGTTTCGCACTGGGTATTCTTCCCAAATCTATGGGCAAGACCCTGTGCTACATAATACAGAGATTACAAGTTGCTTGTAATCTAATTGGAAAGTTAACTATGAGTTTTAAGTGGAAGTCTAAGACAGCAACAGAAGAGTTATCACAACATAGCGCCCAGCTGATAGTCAAACCAGTTGTGTTAGCTGTGGTCTTTATGACAGTTCAGAGACAGTAACCAGTTCAGGTTGAGATGAAAGAAAACTTATGAAGTAGGACACCTCAGTCATTAAGGACTTATTTCTTGTCAGATATTTTCACGTATGGATTCTTTTTTTTTTTAAGATTTATTTATTTATTTATTTGAAAGAGAGAGAATGAGAGAGAGAGAGAGAGCACATGAGAGGGGGAGGGTCAGATGGAGAAGCAGACTTCCTGCTGAGCAGGGAGCCCGATGCGGGACTTGATCCTGGGACTCCAGGATCATGACCTGAGCCGAAGGCAGACGCTTAACAACTGAGCCACCCAGGTGCCCCGTCACGTATGGATTCTAATGTCTCAGAACAACCTTATGAAATGGGTATTAGTACCTGTAATCTACAAAGGAGGAACCTGAGGATCAGAAGGTTTAAGGAACTTGTTCTGAGTTACTCAGCCAGGAAACAGAAGAGAAAGCTTGAACCCATGTGTCTGTAAAGGAAAAAAACAAAAAACAAAACCTACTCCTTCTGTGTCACCCCTACTCTCAACACATCTGACACCAGATGTGTGGGCTTTCCATACACCCACCAATTCTGGGACACCACCTGGGTGTCCCACAATTTTATTCCATTCTGACAGTATCAACCTGGGAATAGTGTCAGATCCCACGGGTTAAGTAAGGGCTGTCAAATGATAAAAATAAAACAATTTAGTAACAAGTTTGATGTCCTTTATGCACTGGAAAGCAGTCCATGGTTGGGAGAGTCCAGTGCCTCCCAAGCAGTGGAGCACTCTTCCCCAGGGGTGTTTGGGAAAGAACGGTTTTTAGAAAATGTCAGGAGAGGCAACGTGGAAACAGGGCATGATTGGCCAGGAGGTCAGGGATTTCCTTATAAGACTAGCAGGTCAGTCAGAATAAGGAAAAAGTATTTGGCTTAAGTTGATTGGCTGAGGTTGCATATCTGCCCTTATTTAGAACAAGGAAATAATTACAGTTTCTTGGCAGTTGAGAATTGGCTGGTGGGATATACAGCGATTCTGGACAAGCAAGCATTTACAGGGATGCGAAAATTATCTAAGTTTTAGTTTGCTGATGTGGCACCCCAGGCCGGACTGGCTCCATCTTGGGCCTGGCCATTTATTTCAACAGGTCTCAGTCCCATAAGACTGCCCCCCACCCCTACTTCCCTTGCCAATCACAAGTCCAGCTTGCTACCTTTGCTTCTGACTGACCAGCTACAAATTGGAGGTTCCCACAACCCCTCCTCAGGTTTGGTTAATTTGCCAAAACAGCTCACAGAACTCAGGAAAACAATTTATTTATTAGATTACTGGTTTATTTCAAAAAGATATAACTCATGAACAGCCGGATGGAAGAGATGCATGGGGCAAGGTATGTGGGAAAGGGCTCGGAGCTTCCCTGCCCTCTCTGGACACACCACTATCCCCAAACCTCCACGTGTTTACCAACCCGAAGTCTCTCCAAACCCTGTCCTTTTAAAGCTTTTATGGAGATGTCATGACATAGGCATGATGGATTAAATCATTGGCCCCTGGCAACTGATTCAACCTGCAGCCCTGCTCTCCTTCCTGGAGGTTGGAGGGTGGTACCAAAAGTTCCATCCTGTAACCATGGTTCCTCTGGCAACCAGCCCCCATCCCTAGAATAACACGTCTATGTTTATGTCACCTCAATAACATAGGCTCATGTGTGGTCGAAAGGGGCTTGTTATGAATAATAAGACATTCCTTTCAGTTTTATGGCTCTGGAGCTATTTCAGGAACCAAGAATAAAAGACCACAAGTGCTATAACAAAAGATGCTCCCAGTGCTCCTATCACTTAGGAAATGCCAAGAGTTTTTGGAGGTCTGTGAAACGGAAGCAAGGATGAAGACCAAATCTATATTTCCCATTATAAATCACAGTATCATGGTTATCCTACTTCAACATTACTGCTTTTTCCATCAGGAGGGCCACAAAATCCAGTCAGAGGCCTCTAGTCAGGGTGAACAGTGTGAACAAGTGCTAGGAGGTCTAAAAGTGGAGTGGAAATTTCAAGAAAGTAGAAGGGTGGTATCCCACCAAAGAAGTTCAGTAAGAAGCATTTAAAAGGCCTTTAGAAAGCAAGGACTTTGTAAAAAGTTTTTAAGTAGCAGCCCAAGGAACACTGGGGAGCCTTTCTTGTTTTGGGCCTGGCCCTCCATGCCTGCAGCCCAAGGTGGGGCATGGAGTTCAGGGTCCTGGGTTGTCCACTCAGGTTGCAAGGCCAGGGCAAGTTATCTGCTATCGAAAGAGAACACAGGGCGCCTGGGTGGCTCAGTTGGTTAAGCGACTGCCTTCAACTCAGGTCATGATCCTGGAGTCCCGGGATCGAGTCCCGCATCGGGCTCCCTGCTCAGCAGGGAGTCTGCCTCTCCCTCTGACCCTCCCCCCTCTCATGTACTCTCTCTCTCTCATTCTCTCTCTCAAATAAATAAATAAAATCTTAAAAAAAAAAAGAGAGAACACAGTGGGGCACCTGGGTGGCTCAGTCGTTAAGCATCTGCCTTGGGCTCAGGTCATGATCCCAGAGTCCTGGGATAGAGCCCTACATCGGGCTCCCTGCATAGCAGGAAGCCTGCTTCTCCCTCTCCCACTTCCCCTGCTTGTGTTCTTACTCTCACTATCTCTCTCTCTCTGTCAAATAAATAAATAAAATCGTTAAAAAAAAAAAAGAACACAGCCTAAAGTTAGAAGGAACAGATAAACTGCAAACTAGAAAAGCAAACAAGCGATACTAGTGTCATGGAGTGCAAAGAACAAGGGCTTTAGAGTCAACTGAGTTTATTTATTTTAAAGATTTGATTTATTTATTTGAGAGAGAGAATGAGAGATAGAGATCACGAGAGGGAAGAGGGTCAGAGGGAGAAGCAGACTCCCCGCCGAGCAGGGAGCCCGATGTGGGACTCGATCCCGGGACTCCAGGATCATGACCTGAGCCGAAGGCAGTCACTTAACCAACTGAGCCACTCAGGCGCCCCAGAGTCAACTGAGTTTAAAATCTTGACTCTCCCGCTCATTATACACATGACCTTGGCCGTTCACTTAACATATCTCAGATTCAGTTTCCTCTTTTGGAAAATGTATCAACTTTACCATGTACTTTGCGGTTGACTTCCCCAAATTCTTTTTACCTCAGCTGATCCACCTAAAACAATCATAAGAATCCCATTCTCTTTGCTAATGATTGGGCCAGGGATGATGGCTAAGGAGATATGAAAGACTGCGGGCTGAAATGTGTCCCCACAAAATTCATATGTTGAAGCCCTACCCCACAATGTTTCAAAAAGCATATAAGTAGCCCCCACTACCACCAGCACCCATTCCATATAACTAGGGAATTGAGCTTCAGAACACAGCAGACATATACAATTGAACAGAATTGCAAAGGAATGGAAACAGAACCCTGATCAAAGCTTGCCTGAAGCCAATACTACTTTTACACTTTTTAAAATATGAACTAGTACAATTTCTTCTTGTTTAAGCAGGCTTGAGCCAGATGTCTGTTAGTTGCTGACTACAGCAACCTAGGTTTATTATGAGGGTAAAATCAAATTATGAAAGTGAAGACCTTTCTTACTCCAGCATGTGGTATATACAAATAATAGCTATTATTATTTTAGGCAGACAAGTAATTTGCAAGTCACCCAATGTAGTGGCCATGACTGGGAGATCTATCTGGATATACAGACATTGCCTATCAGTGAGTAAGGGTTATGGTGCACAAAACCACTATGGAAAAGGAGAGAACACTGGAGTAAGATAGTTGACCTGGGATTTGCCCCCGGCAAAGCAGATTTAGGTTCTGGTT